TTCTCGGAGAGAGACCAACTCTTAACTGTCCCTGGGAGCCCCGTAATGCATAGCGTCATTTCAATATGGAGGTGTCTGCGACACGGTTTACATGCAGGTAGCGGTGCTGCAGCTGCTTTATATAGTCATTCATGCACAAAAAATTCCACCATCCCCGTACTTCAAAAAGATCCCATACTTTAACATGGCCTTTTCCACTAATTTTGAGGTCACGGTGTGGGTCACAGGAAGGATGTAAAGGGTCTTAAATCAGGTCACTTCATCATCATAACCCTCCCTTCGAGGTGGTCATGTCTAGCATTGTCACGGTGTGAAAATTTAACCTCACGGTTATTGTGACCAAAATTATCACTGTTTTCGGTATTATCGTGGTATTTTTTTTAAACGTGTTACATTTTCAGACAACTACATAAACACTGTATATCAGGAAAATATTGTCCTCAGTTTGTGTCTAAATTTTGCCTAAAATTTGTTATTTTGTAATTATGTTGTTTATTTGTTTACATTTTTCCCCTTTAGTATTTAAAATACAATATTTGCCCATAACTTCTTATTTTTTGTCTGTTTGATGTCATCATTTTAAAAATATTAGATCAGATGATACTCGGTACTCAAGTAGCCTTCTAATCAGATACTTTTTTTTTACCCTTACTTGAGTAATAAACCCTATATCAGGAAAAAATTGTCCTCGGTTTGTGTCCTTCCGGTGAGCTTTGCAAATTTGGGAAATGTCATCAGGCAGTAATCATTGTTAAATTCATAATTATTCTCGGAGAGAGACCAACTCTTAACTGTCCCTGGGAGCTCCGTAATGCATAGCGTCATTTCAAAATGGGGATGTCCGCGACACGGTTTACATGCAGGTAGCGGTGCTGCAGCTGCTTTATATAGTCATTCATGCGCAAAAAATTCCCCCTTCCTCGTACTTCAAAAAGATCCCATACTTTAACATGGCCTTTTCCACTATTTTTGAGGTCACGGTGTGGGTCACAGGAGGGATGTAAAGGGTCTTAAATCAGGTCACTTCATCGTCATAACCCTCCCTTCGAGGCGGTCATGTCTTTATTCTGATATGTCATTCAAAAGGAAAAAAGCCCCCCCAAATGTTCTTCAAAAAGATCCCATACTTTAACATGGCCTTTTCCACTAAATTTGAGGTTACGGTGTGGGTCACAGGAGTCATGTAACTGGTCAGAAATCAGGTCACTTCATCGTCATAACCCTCCCTTTAAGGCGGTAGTGTCTGCATTCTGATACATCATTCATGCGCAAAAAATTCCCCCACCCCCGTACTTCAAAAAGCTCCTATACTTTAACATTGCCTTTTCCACTAATTTTGAGGTCACGGTGTGGGTCACAGGAGTGATGTAAATGGTCAGAAATCAGGTCACTTCATCGTCATAACCCTCCCTTTAAGGCGGTATTGTCTGCATTCTGATACGTCATTCTTAGTCTAAAGAGCCCCCTCAAATGTACTCAAAAAAGCTCCTATACTTTAACATTGCCTTTTCTACTAATTTTGAGGTCACGGTGTGGGTCACAGGAGGGATGTAGAGGGTCTTAAATCAGGTCACTTCATCATCATAACCCTCCCTTCGAGGCGGTCATGTCTTTATTCTTATAAGTCATTCATACACAAAAAAAACCCCGAAATGTTCTTCAAAAAGATCCCATATTTTAACATTGCCTTTTCCACTAATTTTGAGGTCACAGTGTGGGTCACAGGAGGGATGTAAAGGGTCTTAAATCAGGTCACTTCATCATCATAACCCTCCCTTCGAGGCGGTCATTTCTAGCATATTTTCCCATAACTTCTTATTTTTTGTCTGTTTGATGTCATCATTTTAAAAATATTAGATCAGATGATACTGGGTACTCAAGTAGCCTTCTAATCAGATACTTTTTTTTACCCTTACTTGAGTCATAAACCCTATATCAGGAAAAAATTGTCCTCGGTTTGTGTCCTTCCGGTGAGCTTTGCAGATTTGGGAAAATGTCATCAGGCGGTAATCATTGTTAAATTCATAATTATTCTCGGAGAGAGACCAACTCTTAACTGTCCCTGGGAGCCCCGTAATGTATAGCGTCATTTTAAAATGGGGATGTCCGCGACACGGTTTACATGCAGGTAGCGGTGCTGCAGCTGCTTTATATAGTCATTCATGCGCAAAAAATTCCCCCTTCCTCGTACTTCAAAAAGATCCCATACTTTAACATTGCCTTTTCCACTAATTTTGAGGGCACGGTGTGGGTCACAGGAGGGATGTAAATGGTCTTAAATCAGGTCACTTCATCATCATAACCCTCCATTTGAGGCGGTCATTTCTACATTCTGATATGTCATTCATGCGCAAAAAATTCCCCCACCCCCGTACTTCAAAAAGCTCCTATACTTTAACATTGCCTTTTCCACTAATTTTGAGGGCACGGTGTGGGTCACAGGAGGGATGTAAATGGTCTTAAATCAGGTCACTTCATCATCATAACCCTCCCTTCGAGGCGGTCATGTCTTTATTCTTATAAGTCATTCATACACAAAAAAAGCCCCCGAAATGTTCTTCAAAAAGATCCCATATTTTAACATTGCCTTTTCCACTAATTTTGAGGTCACGGTGTGGGTCACAGGAGGGATGTAAAGGGTCTTAAATCAAGTCACTTCATCTTCATAACCCTCCCTTCGAGGCGGTCATTTCTAGCATATTTGCCCATAACTTCTTATTTTTTGTCTGTTTGATGTCATCATTTTAAAAATATTAGATCAGATGATACTCGGTACTCAAGTAGCCTTCTAATCAGATACTTTTTTTTACCCTTACTTGAGTCATAAACCCTATATCAGGAAAAAATTGTCCTCGGTTTGTGTCCTTCCGGTGAGCTTTGCAGATTTGGGAAAATGTCATCAGGCAGTAATCATTGTTAAATTCATAATTATTCTCGGAGAGAGACCAACTCTTAACTGTCCCAGGGAGCCCCGTAATGTATAGCGTCATTTCAAAATGGGGATGTCCGCGACACGGTTTACATGCAGGTAGCTGTGCTGCAGCTGCTTTATATAGTCATTCATGCGCAAAAAATTCCCCCTTCCTCGTACTTCAAAAAGATCCCATACTTTAACATTGCCTTTTCCACTAATTTTGAGGGCACGGTGTGGGTCACAGGAGGGATGTAAAGGGTCTTAAATCAGGTCACTTCATCATCATAACCCTCCCTTCGAGGTGGTCATGTCTAGCATTGTCACGGTGTGAAAATTTAACCTCACGGTTATTGTGACCAAAATTATCACGGTTTTCGGTATTATCGTGGTATTTTTTTAAACGTGTTACATTTTCAGACAACTACATAAACCCTGAATATCAGGAAAAAATTGTCCTCGGTTTGTGTCCTTCCGGTGAGCTTTGCAAATTTGGGAAAATGTCATCAGGCAGTAATCATTGTTAAATTCATAATTATTCTCGGAGAGAGACCAACTCTTAACTGTCCCTGGGAGCCCCGTAATGCATAGCGTCATTTCAAAATGGGGATGTCCGCGACACGGTTTACATGCAGGTAGCGGTGCTGCAGCTGCTTTATATAGTCATTCATGCGCAAAAAATTCCCCCTTCCCCGTACTTCAAAAAGATCCCATACTTTAACATTGCCTTTTCCACTAATTTTGAGGTCACGGTGTGGGTCACAGGAGGGATGTAAAGGGTCTTAAATCAGGTCACTTCATCATCATAACCCTCCCTTCGAGGTGGTCATGTCTAGCATTGTCACGGTGTGAAAATTTAACCTCACGGTTATTGTGACCAAAATTATCACGGTTTTCGGTATTATCGTGGTATTTTTTTAAACGTGTTACATTTTCAGACAACTACATAAACCCTGAATATCAGGAAAAAATTGTCCTCGGTTTGTGTCCTTCCGGTGAGCTTTGCAAATTTGGGAAAATGTCATCAGGCAGTGATCATTGTTAAATTCATAATTATTCTCGGAGAGAGACCAACTCTTAACTGTCCCTGGGAGCCCCGTAATGCATAGCGTCATTTCAATATGGGGGTGTCTGCGACACGGTTTACATGCAGGTTGCAGTGTTTCGGCTGCTTTATATAGCAACTCGTTGCATTCTCCCTCAACCCAAATCCTCGGATCACGCATTTTAGTTAAAACGCTAACGTTAACTTGCCTTGCGTTTACTGTAGAGTTGTGGGTGATGGTCACGCAGATGTGTCATGAGATCAAAAAGATCCCATACTTTAACATTGCCTTTTCCACAAATTTTGAGGTCACGGGTTGGGTCACAGGAATGATGTAAAGGGTCTTAAATCAAGTCACTTCATCATCATAACCCTCCCTTCGAGGCGGTCATGTCTTTATTCTGATATGTCATTCATACGCAAAAAAGCCCCCCCAAACGTTCTTCAAAAAGATCCTATACTTTAACATTGCCTTTTCCACTAATTTTGAGGTCAGTGTGTGAGTCACAGGAGTGATGTAAATGGTCAGAAATCAGGTCACTTCATCGTCATAACCCTCCCTTTAAGGCGGTAGTGTCTGCATTCTGATACGTCATTCATGCGCAAAAAATTCCCCCACCCCCGTACTTCAAAAAGCTCCTATACTTTAACATTGCCTTTTCCACTAATTTTGAGGTCACGGTGTGGGTCACAGGAGGGATGTAAATGGTCTTAAATCAGGTCACTTCATCATCATAACCCTCCCTTTGAGGCGGTCATTTCTACATTCTGATATGTCATTCATGCGCAAAAAATTCCCCCACCCCCGTACTTCAAAAAGCTCCTATACTTTAACATTGCCTTTTCCACTAATTTTGAGGTCAAGGTGTGGGTCACAGGAAGGATGTAAAGGGTCTTAAATCAGGTCACTTCATCGTCATAACCCTCCCTTCGAGGCGGTCATGTCTTTATTCTGATATGTCATTCATACGCAAAAAAGCCCCCCCCAAATGTTCTTCAAAAAGATCCCATACTTTAACATGGCCTTTTCTACTAATTTTGAGGTCACGGTGTGGGTCACAGGAGTGATGTAAATGGTCAGAAATCAGGTCACTTCATCGTCATAACCCTCCCTTTAAGGCGGTAGTGTCTGCATTCTGATATGTCATTCTTAGTCTAAAGAGCCCCCTCAAATGTCCCCAAAAAAGCTCCTATACTTTTAACATTGTCCAAAATCCAAAAACTCTCCATGTCCAAAATGTGCGTAAGCCAGCTCCTTAGGTCAACTCAAAGTTGCCCACATTTTCCCACTACTTTTTCCTTTATAAATCCCAAAGTTTGAATGGCAAGTTACTTTTGCAGTTTTGCAACCCCATTTTGTGGGTAAGCAAGCTTTATAAATGACACCCCATGCCACTATAAAACTTACTGATGTACATCTGCAGCATGCAAGGACCATTTACAGGGGTTGATTTTATTTGTCACAGTTTTCACCCCTTCAGAGTTTGTAGGTATGAACGTTCTTGTTCTCTGCACCATCACAGTTGATTCATTGGTTGAGCCCCAATACATAAAAAATAAATTAAATGAACAGGATAAATATTATATATATAATGTGTGTGTATGTATGTATGTGTGTGTAAGCTGTTGAAATATATGCTCATATATTTATTAATAAATATCTAATATATACATATGAGACTCACATGGTCAAGTGTGATTTTAGTTTTCAGCAGAAACAGACTTTTTTGGGAGTGGGGGTGGGGAGTGGCTCTGCACCTGCACTGGACAGGGGAGCAAAAGTTCATGATGCATTCAGGGAAAATTGGTGTGTCCAACTATACTGAAATAAAAACATCTAAAGAGGTTTATTTGTGAATGCTATGAGTTTTCTGTAAAATGATTATTGCTTAAATATTGCACATGAAATTAGCTCATGCCTGAAGTCTGTTAAGACATTATCAGCTGGAAAACCCTAAATTTTTAATGTATCAAGTTTGCAGTCTCATTGTTCGTGAAAGCAGCATGTGCATTGTAGATGGAAAGTACCGGAGCTGCCCTGGATCTCTCCAACTTTGTCAGTCTTTGACTAATTCTACAGAGGAAAAGAGGAATAACTCCACAGCCCAAAAAGGTAACATATAATTTAAAATATTCCATGAAATCATTTACACTTTTTTTAATAAGACAATTACAGCTCTTATCATGCTAAAACAATTTGAACTGAATTGAGCTGTGCTTGTGAGTTTTAGGTAATTTTCTATCAGAGACTATTGTTTTCTTTCAACTTTAAGGTATGTTTAAAGAAATAAAGACACGCTTTACCTACTTACATTTTTAAAACTTATTTTTAAATTAAAACAAAGTGGCTGTCTGCATGGTAAAGCTACGGGGCCTGAAGTGAGCTGTATTTGTGAGGACTCAAAGTGTAGTTTTCAGTAATTTTGTATCAGGGACATGGTTTTGTCTTATGTAACATTAATAATGCTGTACATTTCAACCAGAGCAGTGTTGTTCTATTTTGTGATAGGGTTCATTAACATTATAAAAAGGATTCAGTGTGATGGAAGGTGTACAATGAAATCTAAAAAGAGAGAAATATTATTTTGTTGGGAAATCTAATCTTTCATAGGCAATGTGGATACAATAATCAGTTTTTGACATTTAAAAAAACCCACTAGTGACGTGTTGGCCACGAACGAAACGGCTCTCAGAGCCGACTTGTTTATATGACCGTTAGGAGAAAGGTCCCTTCTGCAGGAACTGGCTCCCTCTTGGAGAAGTCAAAGTGAGTTACATAGACTGTACCCGCAGGCCCTGGAGCCACTAGAACACAGCAAAACTTGAGCGCACATGTGCAGCGGGCCTCAGTGAAGCTGACCTCCAGTAAAAGCAAATAGGCTGTGCGGTTAGTTTCTGAGATATTACACTTTATTTTATAGGTTATTCTTAACCCTAACCCAGACTGCACCAAAACAGTTCAAAGTAGTCTACTTTTTAGTGCTATGTTTGTGCTGGTTTGTGCTGTTGAAATATAATTTGTGTTGCTATGGTTTCTGAGATATAACAAGTTTTATTGTTGTGTGATGCTCCAAAACATTCCAAAATAGTCTACATTTTAGTTCTTCGTTTGTGCAGTTAAAATTGGGGCGACAGTGGCACAAACCTATTTGCTTTTACTTTTCAAGTGGGGGAGATCAGCTTCACTGAGCTCCGATGCTGTGAAGGCAGGGAGAGGGGTGGCATGCACAAAATGCCTGTGAGACAAATTACATTAACTGATAAGACCTGTAAATATTGGTGGGGACAAATCTGTAAGAGGAGAAAGGAAAATCAAACAAAGCTTCAGAAAGGTGAGGACATGAGTGAAAACAGGACAGGCACCAAGGTTTGGACAAATTTTAACTACAGTGACAATTAAAAGACAGAGTGTAGATTGTGCAAAGGGTAAATATATCCAAAAGGCTATAATAGTTCAAAACTAATACAAATTTTACTTGCAGAGTTTGTTTTTGTCATTTAAAATGTGTTTATGTAGCTCTCTGCTTCATGTTGAATAAAATAAGTTATTTAAACAATAAACACTTGATAAAATGTATATTGTAGATTAGTAATTCAGTTTACATACAGTTTTATATAATTTCTGGTGATAAATTCATTTAGGAAACGAAAAATATGAGGAACTGTTTAAGAGCCGAAAGAGCCGGTTCATTTTAGTGAGCCGAGCTGTAAGACCCTAACCTAGCAGCAGCCAGATCTCTATGTGTAGCCTCGTGTAGAGTCTACACATTTAGATCTGGACTCTCTGCAGAAGAAACCGGCTGAAAGAGGGAGGACTGTGTGGTAGAATATTTTGAACTGACTGAAGGACGCGCAAGGTAGTGCCCGGCTGGCACTAGCTGGCTGCTGCCAGGATAGGGCTCTTGATACGATCTTCAAAACGAACTCCCACCCTACAGCAAAGTGCTGACACACAATTGGATTGACCCATTTTGGGCCGGATGCCGGACGCTTTTAACTAGTGATGGGAACCCTGGATCTTTTAAGAGAACCAGTTCTTACGGCCAGCTGTAACACACCAAACATGGCTTTTTTGCTAGATTGGTTATCTACACTGAACAAAAATATAAACGCAACACTTTTGTCTTTGCTCCCATTTTTCATGAGCTGAACTCAAACAGTTGAAACTTTTTCTACATACACCAAACACCCATGACCCTCAAATATTATTCTGAAATCTGTCTACATGTGTGTTCTCGAGCACTTTTTCTTTACCAAGATAATCCATCCCACCTCAAAGGTGTGGCAAATCAAGGGGCTGATTAGACAGCTTGAATAATGTAAAGGAGTGCCTTAGACTGCCCTTCATATTTCAAACTTTGCTAACTTTATTAATAACTCTGCTAAATAGTCATAGCCATAGTTCAAATTATTGATAAACTTGTGTTAAATCATCTAATCTGACATCTTTCCAGACATGCAGAGCCAATGCCCCTCAGGAGCTGGGATTCCAGAGGATTTCAATGAGAAAGAGAAAACAGGTGAGTGACTTCCACATTCACGTGATTGTATGAGTTGTTGTGACTCCTGGTCAATCCACTAACTATATTGGCAGACATCACTTAAAGAGCAAGTCACCCCCAAATCAACTTATTTTTTGCTGATAAACTGTATCAATGAGTGTCTAATAGTGCTGTAGAAATGTGTGGTCATTATTATGGCTTTTTAGTGCATCTTATTTAGAGTTTAAAAATTCAGCCTAAGACAGTCCACCAGTCAGCAAGCTGGGTTCTCTGTCGGAAACCTACACTCACCCTTTCCCTCCGTGATTATGGGAAATGTCCGTTCTCTTCTCAATAAGATGGACAAGCTCACAGCACTGACCAGGTTGCAGCAAGACTACAGACAGTGTAGTCTGTTATTTTTTAAGGAAACGTGGACGGATGAGCTCATAGCTGACTGAGGTTTCACTGGGAGAATTTAAACTCACGTGGGCCGACAGGAGCGTGGAGTGTGAAGCGCAAGAGTGGGGGTCTGGTTGTGTTTAATAATGAGAAATGGTGCAACCCAGCGTATGTGACCATTAAAAATAAACTCTGCACAAATGACATTGAGTTACTGGCTGTTGGTCTCCAGCCCATTACATCCCGAGAGAGTTTTCACATGTAATTGCGCCAGACGCCCCTCCCTGGGTTGCCACCTTACCGCGGTGAGAGGGTTTGTGTGTCCCAATGATCCTAGGAGCTATATTGTCTGAGGCTTATGCCTCTGGTAGGGTCACTCATGGCAAACAGGTCCTAGGTGAGGGATCAGACAAAAAGCAGCCCAATGACCCATTATGATGAATAATATAAATTGACACAGTGTTCACTCACCCGGATGTGGGTCACCGGGGCCCCACTCTGGAGCCAGGTCTGGAGGTGGGGCACGTCGGCGAGCGCCTGGTGGCTGGGCTTTCACCCAGCCCGGCCGGGCACAGCCCAAAGAGAAAAGGTGGGTCCCCCTTCCAATGGGCTCACCACTTGTGGGAAGAGCCAAAGGGGTCAGGTGCAATGTGTGATGGGTGGAAGCCGAAGGCTCAGATGCGGTCTGATCCTTGGCTACAGAAGCTGGCTCTCGGTACGTGGAATGTCACCTCGACTAGATATAGTCGGACTCACATCAATACATGGGTCTGGCTCTGGAACCAGATTCCTTGAGAGGGGCTGGACACTCTACCACTCTGGAGTTGCCCCCACTGAGAGGCGCCGAGCGGGGTGGGCATACTAGTTGCCCCCCATCTTGGTGCCTGTACATTGGGGTTTACCTTGGTGGACGAGAGGGTAGCCTCCCTCTGCCTACGTGTGGGGGGACGGGTTCTGACTGTTGTCTGTGCTTATGCACCAAACTACAGTTCAGACTACCCACCCTTTTTGGAGTCCTTGGAGGAGGTGCTGGAAAGCACTCCTTCTGGTGACTCCCTCATTCCGCTGGGGGACTTTAACGCTCACGTGGGCAATGACAGTGAGACCTGGAGAGGTGTGGTGGGGAGGAACGGCCCCCCTGATCTGAATTTGAGTGGTGTTTGTTGTTGGATATCTGTGCTCGTCATGGCTTGTCTATAACTAACACAATTTTCAGACATAAAGGTGTCCATATGTGCTCTTGGCACCAGGATACCTTAGGCCGCAGCTCGATGATCGACTTTGTTGACATTTCATCTAATCTGCAACCGCATGTCTTGGACACTCGGGTAAAGAGAGAGGCGGAGCTGTCAACTGACCACTACCTGGTGGTGAGTTGGCTTTGATGGTGGGGGAAGATGCCGGTCAGACCTGGCAGGCCCAAAGGTATTGTGAGGGTCTTCTGGGAACGTCTGGCAGAGTCTCCTGTCAGAAGAAGTTTAAATTCTCACCTCGGACAGAACTTCCAAAATGTTCTGGGGGAGGCGGGGGACATGGAGTCCGAGTGAGCCATGTTCCGTGCTTTCATTGTCGAGGTGGCTGACCGGAGCTACGGCCGCAGGGTTGTTGGTGTCTGTCGTGGTGGCAACCCCCAAACCCACTGGTGGACACCAACGGTTAGGGATGCCGTCAAGCTGAAGATAAAGAGTCCTATAGGGTCTGTTTGGCCTGTGGGACTCCAGAGGCAGCTGATGGGTACCGGCAGACCAAGCGGAATGCGGCCCAGGTTGTCACAGCATGCTGCATAGTGTTGGAACCCAAGTTTTTTTCATTTTTATTCGTGTTTTTTTAGTGGTCGAAGGTTACATTACTAGATTACTGCCTATGTGTATATACATGTACCTATATCATAATTTTCTTCTGATTATCCCCTTAAGTGTTGGTGCTGCTGTAACAAGTGAATTTCCCCACTGTGGGATCAATAAAGTGTATTCTATTCTATTCTTCCTAAAGGATTATTAGGAACACCATACTAATACGGTGTTTGACCCCCTTTTGCCTTCAGAACCGTCTTAATTCGACGTGGCAGTAGCCACATTTACATGCGCATATTTCATCAGATTGAACGCCCAATCAGATAAAAAATTCTGCATGTAAACATGTCAATCAAATATTCTGATCCGATTTGGCCCGATCGGATTGAAATTTCAATTCGATTGAGGGAGGTGGTTTTGTCCGATCATCATTCTGATTGACGTGCATGTACACAGCTATTCGGATTGTTGGGGTAAAATAATGCCCACTGCGCATGTGTGCAACAGCGAGCGGGCCTCTCCGCTGTCATTTGGACTGCCTGACTTCAAAAATGACAGCGTAATCAATGAGCAGAGGCTTTTAAATTTGATAACAAGCCGTCCCGTTTCAGTAATATTTAATTCAGAACTTGCATTTTGTAGAAGTAAAATAAAAATCTGATTATTGCACAAATCACTCGACAAACATTTTCAAATCTGTACTGGAAATACCCAAGTTTATTGCGGAGGTTGCAGCGCACAGATCCCCGTTTCTGTCAGCTTTGAACGCAGCAACTTCTGCAGCAGGTGATGGAGACGCCAGAGACGCTTGTAAAGAAGACAGGATAATATCAGTTTTACAGACCTGATTGGAGGCTGATGTTGGGTAGGAAAACATCCTCGGTTAAATATTCTGGACAACAGTAAAGTCCGTGTTAAAAGCACATTAACGCAGATGACCTGAGATGCGGTTCGTTAATGATGAACACAGGCTTCTAAACTTTCTGAACGTCTTCTGTTGTTTTATTTTAAACAGATTTTTCTCAACAGTTTCAGCTGATTGTCACATGTTAAGAATAATAAGCCACAACAGAGCTCAGTAATAAAACATGAGTCTAAACGCCCCCATCCCCACTCTGCGCCACAGTGCAGCGCAACGGCATATCTGTCACTTCAGACCCACGGACCAGCTGATCAAGAGGCAGAAACATAACCCTCCCTTATTTTAATCAACAATAAAAATGCAGCAAAGCATAGATCTGCAGTTATTCACTGAAGAAAACGTAACTTCTATGAGCAAAATAAAAATATTGAAGTGAATAAATGAATCGGGAAAGCAGGAAGAATTGTTATTTCTGTTTTTACATTTTTCATTTCGTTTCATGGTGTTTGTTTACAATTTTTCTTCCGGGAAAGGCAACTTTCTGCGCATGCTCAACCTATTTAATCGGATTAAATGCTTGATGCATTTATAAGCACGGCATGATCAGATCATTTCAGTTTGTGTCCATGTGAACAGTGATTCAGAAATTCCGATCAACCAAGATTTGAATTGGATTGAGGAAATTTGGTGCATGTAAACATGGCTACTGAGTCAACAAGTTGCTGAAAGCATTCTTTAGAAATGTTAGCTCATATTTATAGGATAGCATCTTGCAGTTGATGGAGATGTGTGGGATGCACATCCAGGGCACGAAGCTCCCGTTCCACCACATCCCACAGATGCTCTATCGGGTTTAGATCTGCTGACTGTGGGGGCCATTGTAGTACAGTGAACTCATTGCCATGTTCAAGAAACCAATTTCAAAAGATTGGAGCTTTATGACATGGTGCATTATCCTGCTGGAAGTAGCCATCAGAGGATGGGTACATGGTGGTCATGAAGGTATGGACATGGTCAGAAACAATGCTCAGGTAGCCTGTGGCATTTAAACCATGCCCAATGGGCACTAAGGGGCCTAAAGTGTACCAAGAAAACATCCCCCACACCATGACACCACCACCACCAGCCTGCACAGTGGTAACAAGGCATGATGGATCCATGTTCTCATTCTGTTTACACCAAATTCTGACTACCATTTGAATGTCTCAACAGAAATCCAGACTCATCAGACCAGCAACATTTTTCCAGTCTTCAACCATCATATTTTGGTGATCTTGTGCAAATTGTAGCCTCTTTTTCCTATTTGTAGTGGAGATGAGTGGTGCCCCGTGGGGTCTTCTGCTGCTGTAGCCCATCCACCTCAAGGTTGTGCATGTTGTGGCTTCACAAATGCTTTGCTGCATTCCTCGGTTGTAACGAGTCACTTCAGATATTAAATAAATAAATATCATAATAATAATAATAATAATATACGGAATATTAAACATTGAACTAAACTGAATACGAGTTCAACGTACCATTACACCCCTAGTAATGATTGTGGGTTGAGACACCTGAATCAGAATGCGAAAACATTATGACTCAGTGGATTTAAAAATACACACAGATGATGGAAAAAATCAGAGTATGGGGAAGCTGGCAACTCCTCCTTTTGTTGCATTTTTAAAATGGGAAGTGTGGGTGAAGTTATACTCTGGGGTGACTTGCTCTTTAAGGAAATTATTACTGTTATGTCTATAGCTTGACATTAGATCTATTTTTCTTTTCTTTGCAGCATCTTTCAAAAGATAAAAGCTGAGAAACAAAAGCAATGGGCTCGACCAAAGTTCTGAAGGTCAGTCAATGATCAATGGCTTACTGAGATTGGCGTGCCTCCGTTTCTTTTTATAATGCTTTAAGTGGATTTTTTTTTCATAAATTTCATATCACTCTAGATGAACCCACCTTGTGCACCCAAAGGCCTACAGGGAAATCAAAGAAGAAGCAGACCAACAAAGGAACACCCACCCATTCCCCTTCCCTGCTCACTGTCCATGGTTTTACTCAAGGTTTGGTTCAGATTTTCAAATATTTAAGTAACTGAAAATGGCTAACATGCAATTCATTCTCCCCATAAAAGACTGAAAGAGATTACCTTAAAAAAAGAAACTGAGGTTTGACATTTTACAACAAGTATGAACAACTTAACTACTTAGGGGCAGCAGTAGCTCAGGAGGTAGAGAGGATTGTCCAGAAACCGGAAGGTTGCAGGTTTGATCCCAGCTCCAACCAGAGAGTGCTGCTGTCGTGGCCTGCTGAACACTGGCGCCACCGGTCCCTCTGACCACCACCAGCAGGCAAAGCGAGTTAAGTGCCTTGCCCAAGAAACAACAGCAGCAGATTGTGTTGTGAAGCGCCTTGGGGGCCTTAGAAGGCGCTATACCTATACAGGCCATTTATTCCCATTAATTTCACATTGTTGTCCTTATTATAAATACAGAAATGTATTTGGGATGTTTGAGTTCACATAAACCTTTATAGAAAGATGGAAGTTCATCAAATCATTACCATATTAACATTTTAGGCACAAAGATACTTGACTTCAGTTTTCCTTCAGTTAGATGCTAAACTTTTTCTGTTTATCAACAACAATTATAGATCTGTTGATACATTTCCTAGCTACAGTTCAGAGTCTAAAAAAACCTTGTATTAAGCCATATAATCTAAAATGTTTTTGTAGATCATCCAGATATGATGAGCCAAGAACCTTCAGGAGCTGAGTGGTCTAAGGAGTCAAATGGAAAGGACAAAACAGGTGCGTGGTTTCCACATTCACACACACGGACAGAGATGTTTTGCTTTCGGACTTCTCAGTCTCCTGGGGAGTGTTGTAAAGCAGTTCCCCGCCAGGACAACAGGGCGTAGCACTGCTCTGTGTTATCCTGCCCAAGAGAGTGCATTTAATATTATATAATAAACACAGAAACTGTGCAAATAACAAAAGTCAGCAGGGATAAAAAAGCTGTTTACTTGGTTTGTGGTGATCTTGGTAGTTATAAAGTTTAACAGCTGCAGAAAGGAAGGATTAATGACAAAATGCCTTCATACACCTAGAATGCGTAAGTCTGCTACTGAAGGAACTCTCCAGCTCCGTTGTCAGCTTCACGCTTGGGATGGGAAACATTGTCTAACCCACTACCTACTAATTCCACTACCTCCGCTCCGACACGAACGCCGGAGCAAAATCGGTCCCGTTGTAGTCAATCAGAGCAATTCCACTACTGCGGCTGTGCTCCGGCAGTGCGGCGCCGTGCGCCGTCCTCTGTTCCGGCGTCCGGCAAAAATAGAATCGATCCTATTTTCGCCGGACGCCGGAGCACCTCCGCAGTCAATGGACAGAAATCACCATCGCCCAACAGGAAAAGGAGCAAGCACAACTTCCGTTTTTCACAATAAATCGATAAACAAAAGGCGTTTTTTGTTTCATATGCACAGGTTTAACAACTTTTAACAACTATCAGTGGCGGCTGAAGTTTAAATGCACAAAAGTTAGCCATAAATACAGTTTTCACTATCAAACACTTTGTTGATCCAAACACTGCTGATCTCTACACAAATGATGGGCAGATTAAACAGTTCATGCTGATGCTTCTCCAACACAACGGGTGTTTGGATCTAACTTCCGCGTTTATTGCTCGGACTGTATCGCAAGATCTTGAAAATCCCACGCATGCTTGTTTGCCCACCTCAGGTCTCCGCACCGGAGCCGAGCCGTTGTAGAGCGCATACCTGTAAAAATTGAGTTCGGAAGCGAGCGGCTGCGGAAGGCGGGGGCGGACCGCAGCGGAGCGGAGCGGAGGTAGTGGAATTTGGGGGTTACAGACGTTTGAAAAACTTGTAGTAAGTAATTTAATTTCAAATATTTCTGTAGGTCCAACCACGCTGAACCAAGGTCCTTCAGGAACTGGAATCTAAGCCCAGATATAAGCCCAGTAGCTATGTATTTGTGTTTATAAATGTAGGTGTCTTTTTGGGGTTGCTGCGTGATGTTCTTGTGCATTGCAGCAGCGCCATGCAGCAGTTTGTTGTCGTAATGTAGTCCCCGGTCTAAAATAACTCCTGTATTCCTTCCTGTTATTTCATTTGCAGGCTGTGATTATTGAGGTCACCAAAAAATAGGATCCTTACAGAGTATTTTTCATCACTTTTTAATATGAAATGCTAGCTAAAGCTAACCAAATATTGCCATCTTAGGAAATTGACTGGGCTGGTTAGAAAAGGGGTTTTCCCACTGATCCAAGTCTGTAACCTTGCACTGCAAGATGAATTTTTGCAAGATTTGGAGTTTTCTGGATGGACCGGACACGGACTGAGCTGTGAGCTCCCGGCTGCTGAGTTTTGTGTGTAGGGAGGGGCGGGTGCTCTATTTGACTGGCCAATCACAGAGCGTGAAGACAGTCAGTTACCCAATGAGGATTTTCCTTCAGCACGATTACAGATATTTACGATTTTTACTCGTTTCACTTGTCAAAAATGCTTTATCCGTACCGGATACTCTTCTGAAACGAGTATCCGGCTCATCCCTAATCCAAACAGTCAGAATTGAAAACACAACCTAAACATGATGTCATGACTTTAACTAATAAAAGCATGTTTCTTTTTTTTTTTTTTTTTGTTACAGACATGGATCAACAGGATTTAACCTCTAAGAAATTCAACCGAAAGATTTGGAGCAAATCTGGGAAAGAAGCGGTTTGGCAACAGCTTGGTCGGTACATCACTCTTGAAAGAGTTCCTGGTAAAATGCTGTGTGTGAAAGCACTCAGTACAGAGACAGCACTTTAGAACAGAAGTTGGGAAGATGTAAAAAACTGCATCTATAACCACATCCCTGATCAAAAAAGAAAAAGGCTGTAGTTTTTGCGTTAAAAGCAGCAGGAGCTGAGTTAATGCATGTAATGTTACAAGCAGAGCATTTAATGATACCTAGTTATTTTTATTTTATGAGACATTGGAAATATGTTAAAAACTATAATTATAACAGCATTGCAGATCAAAAATGTTACAAGCAGAGCATTTTATGGTACCTAAAGATATTTAAATTTTATTACATGTTGGAAAGATGTTAAAAACTATAAGTAGAACAGCATCACAGTAGCATTGCAGGGATTAATCGTTTTGACTATTAACCCTGGTTAACCCCAAGTAAATAGATCTTCAACACCATCAAACTAAAACAAAAAGACAATAGCGTAACTCGTAAGTACAAAACTGAAACTGAACACGCGCCCGCAGCAGAAGCATGATCAGTGAAAACAACCATCGGGACTCCTCCATTTCTACCTCGGAAGAGGTTGAATTCTCCTGTGTGGGAATAGTTTAGATATATTAGATATCATCCCACACAGGAGACTTCAACCGCTTCTTAGGTGGAAATGGAGGAGTCCCGAAGGTTGTTGTCACTGGTTCTGCTTCTGCTGCGTGAGCACGTTCAGTTTCACTTTTGTCTTTGTCCATGAGGGTCATGCCATAGTCCTTTTTTTATTGTTGGTGTGGTAGACATCTTTAAGGGGGGTTATCAGGGGTTAATAGTCAAACTGGTTAATCTCTGCAAGCCTACATCACAGCTCAAAAAAGAAAAAAAACTGTAGTTGATATGTTTTATTTTAAAAGCAGCAGAAGCTGAGTTAATGCATGCAATGTTAAATGCAGAGCATTTAATGGTACCTAAAGTTGTATTAATTTATTAGAAGTTAGAAATATGTCAGAACTACTAGTAGAGCAGCATCACAGCTCAAAAAGAAAATAAAAACAATATTTGAAAATTTTCTTTTTCAAAGCAGAAGGATCTGAGTTCATTTATGTAATTTTATGCACCGTGTTTACTTTATTTGGTATCTAAAATTTATATTTTCTCAGCAGATGAATTAGAAAGATTTTAAAAACTGCATGTATAACTGCATTTTAGCTCAAAAAAGAAAAAAGTAAACATATTCAATTTTAAAAGAAACAGGAGCTGAGTTCATATATGTATGTAATGTTTAAAGGTGCCTAAAGTTTATTTTAGTTCAACTGTTGCAGTCACAATTGCAAAGTTTAATGAAATCCTTTTTACTTCAATAAAATAACTACTTTGTAGTAATTTCTGTCATGTTTCCTGTTATTTATGTTCTGTAACTAAGATTTACAGGGAGCTGCACGGCTGAATGCAGTTTGAATCCAGCTTAGTCTTTATGGTGGTTGCATATTTTTCCTATGTATGTCTGGGTTCCTCCAGGATAATTTGATACCTTTCACCATCCAAAATCATTCTATGTTTATTAGTCGATGAGCCGATACCAATATTTGATATTAATATCACTGCTTCTGCAGTACTGCAGACGTTGTACCGATCTGTCGTGGTGAAGAGAGAGCTGAGCCAGAAGGCAAAGCTCTCGATTTACCGGTCGATCTATGTTCCTACCCTCACCTATGGTCATGAGTTTAGGGTAGTGACTGAAAGAACGAGATTGCAGATACAAATGGCCAAAAATAGTTTTCTCCGCAGGGTGGCTGGGCTCTCCCTTAGAGACCCGCTGCTCCTCCACATCGAGTGGAGCCAGTTGAGGTGGCTAGGGCTTCTGGTTAGGATGCTTCCTGGACGCCTCCCTGGTGAGGTTTTCCGGGCACGTCCAACCGGGAGAAGGCCTAAAGGAAGACCCAGGACACGCTGGAGATACTATGTCTCATGGCTGGCCAGGGAACGCTTTGGGATTCCCCCGGAGGAGCCGGCCCAAGTGGCTGGGGAGAGGGAAGTCTGGGCTCCCTTGTTTAGGCTACTGCCCCCACGACCCAACCCCGGATAAGCGGACGACAATGGATGGATGGATGGATGATATCACTGTTATGGCCGATAGCTGATATTTGCTGATACAGATATACTGACATGCTTCTAAAATAAGCAAATTTTGTACTGATTGAAAATTATTAAAGCTGAATTTACGTTGTTATGTACACACACCACACACATTTACGCTTATGAGAATATTAAAATAACTGTCACATGGCTAAACAAATACACACCACCCCCCTAACCATCTGAAACAGATAAACAAATGGAAACAAAATGGAAAAAAAATATTTGTTGTTAATATTGACCAAGTTTTATTTATCGGACCAATACCAATATGTTAAAAATAACTTATTGATGCAGATTGTGCATCCCTAATGTTGATGATTGTCTGTCCTTTTAGTTTGCAGCATTTGTGTGGTGCCTCGATGAACTGTTACCTGCTCAGACTTCACCGCACAACTTGGAATAGGGAATTACAGAAAAAATCCTTATCTAATATTATTTAAGCTAAATCCTGGTGAAGGTTCTCTGAAATGCAGTTTGTGTTATTCCTTGTAGATTTGGGTTGAGGCAACTGAGTTGTTTTGGTTATTTGAATATGTTTCACTTCTTATTTGAGGAGCTTTGTCAATTCTGACCAGAATAAGGAGAGGGATAAGCTCCAAAATCACACTACAATACTTGGGCTTGATGCTCCACTCATTCCACTTTAATATTACAAAGCTCTTTGGATTAGAAGCAAAACATTTTGAAAGTATAAAGAAAATCTAGCAACTTACACACTCAAACAAGAAAATAATTAAGCTAATATATTTTATTTTTTCTTAAGAAAAACTAAACAAAAATTTTAAACTGATAGAGTACTTTATAGGCAAACAAAAGCTTCTCTGTGATTCAAGATGTTAAAATTTTACTTTGCTATTGCCAATTTGATAATAAACAAGTGTTACATATTTGTAAAAACAGTTTGATTAGTTAAAATTGCTTTGAAAGTTTAAGAATTTTTAATTTTTCATGTGGAAATTTAATCAAAAATTGGTTAGGGAGGAAATACAGAATTGTGAGGACATCACCTAATCTGCCTAGCAACGGTTGTGGGTCCTCACAAGTACACCAAATAAATATTTTTTTTACTTTGATTTTTCAACAATTTGAAGTGAGATTCTGACTCTTCACTCACATCTAGTGTCAGATTTTCATGGCCCAACACTACAGCTATGCAGGAAGTGGATGTCCTCACAAAGATAGGTAGGGTCAGTGTCCTCACAAGTATATATATACATGTATGTGTGTGTGTGTGTGTGTGTGTGTGTGTGTGTGTGTGTGTGTGTGTGTGTGTTGGGGAAGGATGTTTGAGTGTTGATAAATCTAATGGGAAGTGTTTTAATAGATGTGACAGTGTGAGCGTTGTGTCACTATGACCTGAATGATCATGCGCCCTGGCTACTTGGCCAAGGGGATGGCCCTTTGGCTGACTGGTTAGCACCCATAACTCAGGAGTCTGGGGATTGAATCCCGCCTAGGCCCTCATTTCTCCACCTTGCCACATTGAGAAACGTTAAAACAGAAAGTGTAAGTTAAGTTCAGCTGCTGATGGTTTACAGATGAACAAGGTAGAAAAGTACCAGACTGAACCACAAGCTGTAGAGCTGTAGATCTATCTAGCATTCATTTATAGTCTGGATTTTACCAGTTTATCTTGGAACCTGAGGAGCGAGTGTTTGTTTTCCTCTCTTTCAACAAGGCTGTTGCTAGCAACTGAAGCTAACAGCTCAGACAGGTGCTAACAGAGGCTTGGCTTACCGTGGCTCTGAGGTAGTGTAGCTGCCACCAGCGTTTAAATGCTGCTGAGGCTAAAGTTGGCTCGACCATATAAATGTCTGCAGGTGTGGCCAGCGCTGGACTGACCATAGGGCATAGCGGGCAACTGCCCGCTGGGCCGACCCTTTCATCTTTTATGGGCCGGTGTCTGTTTTTTTTTTTTCTTTTTTCCCTGGCCTCTAGTTGTTGCGGACAACTTGTCCGCGCCGCCCCACGCGACGCCTCGTAAAAGTTGGTGGATTGGCCAATTGGTAATAATACACTCTGGGCTGGACCAATAGCCAGAGGTCTGATGCACCCGCCAGTTGTTTGTGAATCTCAGTAAACATACAGACGAGCTTTACAAAATGGAGAACAAAAAACGGAAAGGAGGAGCGGAGAAAATTCGACTAAAAAAGAAACTGGCCCTTCAGGCTGATGCTGGCACATGTGTTAAAATCTCACAGTTGTTTGGTAGTGAAGGTTCAAGTAAAATCAATTTAGGAAGTGATGGAGCCTCAGCCCAGCGACAGGTTGGAGAAGAAAAGAGGGAGGAGGAGGAGAAACCCGAGCCGGTGTTGTGCCATAAATTGACTTGCTGCCAAAAAATGATTAGCCACCGCGGGATCGCGCACGGTTAGGTAATTGCATTTCTATACAAAATTCCCCAGGATTTCGCCCTAAAACTCAGCATATCTAGCAATATGGACATTCAGAAAGCAAAGATAACCTCTTCCGGTACTTAAACAGATGTTTATCGCGGATATTAGTGTGGCAGTGTTTGTGGCACCCTGCGCGGGAGCACGAGGACGTGCTTGTGGAAAGAGGGAGGAAGATGTGGCAGTGTGGTAAGCATCCACAATGTCCCGATTGATCATGTGCCCTGGCTGCTTGTTCAAGGAGATGCTCCTTTGGCTGACTGGTTAGAGCGTATGACTCTCACTTGGGAGTCTGGGGATCGAATCCTGCCCGGGCACTTGTTTCTGCACCTTGCCACATTAGTTTTTCCAGTTCGGAAGTTATTTTAAGTGTTGCTATTTGTCTTAAACGTTCACAATGAGGATATATTAATCCTTTTTGCAATATTTGAGATTGAAAGATGGTTTGTGCCACAAACTTTGTGGTAAGAACTGGCTTTCTTTATGTTACAGCCTTGATACTAAAAAAATAAACAATGTAAAATGGCACCCTGTATTGAATGTAAACGTTTAATGAGAAATGAGAATGAGAAATTAATGAGAAATTAAAATCAATAGTACAATATAATATTGAATGTAAACGTTGTATAAATGGAAATAAACAATTCTCCAGCGATTTAATTTTTTCCCCTTCCTTTCTTTAGTCCACTTGACATGGAGCCACAGTTAACTAGTTTGGGGCACATTTTTACTTGAAAAAAAGTATTTAAAATGATCAAGCTTTGGCTTTAATGACACTGTGTAGGTTACTATCTATACATTACGTTGTTCTATTTAAAAGTAACAAGATAAAAGCACTTCAGCACATAAAATTAAGATTGTCACTTGCCAAATAGACTACACCCTCCCGTTTACCTATAAGAAATGCCTCAAAATATCTTTAAATTCTTTATTGATGATTTAATTGTAGACAACTAAAATGGCATTTTACTTG